GGGAAGGTAGGATGAAGTCTGTTTTTAACCAACAGATAGACTTGCCAAGGAAACATCTGCAGATCCTGAAGTTTTGCTCTTTCCCTGCTCCTTTCTTCACGGGTGCTGTTAGTACTGGTAGGTGGGAGCCTGAGGAAAGCCTAAGGCAGATCCAAGTGTGTGGTGAGCTGACCACTCTCTGCTGAAGCTGCTTGGTCTCTGAGTTAGTCTTGTCACCATTTGCCAGCTGACAGTTCTTGTGGTAAGTAAGGTAAGCCTGGGTAATTTTGCTTTCAGTATATTTTGATGTAAGATAGCTTTTTAATCGTGGTCCTTCTGAACTGTCAGCATATAAAGCAGTCTCCAGCCGTGGGTCCCTGCTACCACTGTGCATGCAGCAGCCTGTGACAAGGGACATACCAGTGCTGTGAGCACGAGTCACTTCTCAAATCAACCTAAAGCCTTGTTGGACTTTAGAGAGAATAGGCCCAAGTAAACATCAGCAATGGCAGTAGCATTTTCTTGCAGTTGAGCTGCATTTACTTTGGAATGGTGTTCTGGTGAGTCCTTGTCACTCTTAACCCCTGTGCTGGGAGTGCTGCAGTCTGTCTGAGCTGCACTTGGGTCAGTACCAAGGCTGTGGGTGGCCAGCAGAGCAGCTGCAGAATTCAGGGCCTGTGTGACACCCTGCATAGGTTGGGAAGTGCTTTGTTTAGTTCACAGCAGTTCCTGTGATGCTTTTAATTTTTCCGGCTGCACCAGTTTTGCCTCTTTTGCTGCAAGCTAACCTCATTTTGCTCTTAAAGCTCACAGCTGAAGTTAAGGGCATTTAAGAGGAGTACAATGGTGGTGAGAGGAGGTCTGGTTAATGGAGGGCTGTGTAGTTGTTTCTTTCCACAGAGACCTGCAGTCAGTTGTGTCTCACTGAGAAGCAGGAGAGTGGAGCCCAGCCTGGGTGCAGGAGCTGCACCAAGTTGGATCAGGGCTTGTTTATGTCAGTTCCTTTTCTGCTGTCCTTGGCAGTGTTCTCAGCTGCTGTGCTGCTTCCCCCTCTCTGAGCTGTAGAGAGCAAGGCAGATGGGGGCTTCCAGTCCCGGGACATCAGCACAGAAGAGTGAGAAACTTGGTTTGTCTTGTTGCTGTGCTTCAGTCATCATACCCACAAGCATGATTCCATTCCTGCCTGTATTGTTGCTCCCACCAGGGCTATCTTGACTGTCTCAAGATGCACTGTGCAGGCACTTGAGATTCCAAAGGAAACCTCACAGCAAAGTCAGTTACCTACCTGGGTGCATTTTTCTTCTGCAGAAAATTGATCTGCACACCTCTGCCTATTCAGACATTCAGTTTGCTATTTGTAAAGGAATTATAGGTACTGTCATCATCTCCTCACAGGAAGGGATTAAGGAGGTTTGGACAAAGGCAGGCCCCTGAAATTGCCCCTTCTGGCATATATGTGAGATGCACAGTGCCTGCTCCTTCTTTTGGCTACCCAGAAGGTGTCTTAGAGGTCACTTAACCTTGAGTATGCAAGGAATCTGATAGGTTTGTGATGGGTTTGGTTTGGGGAGGTGTAATTTCTGAGTAGTGGCTCAGGTGAGGATCCAGGACCCCTGGAAGGCTTTCAGTGTTGGCAGTGTGCCCTGAGCCAGGGCTGAGCAACTTCTCTGGGCCTGTGTTTGCAGATGGTACTTGAGTGGTGCCAAACCCAACAGACTCCAGGAGCTCCTCAATGTGCTGCAAGCCTTGTCCATGATGAAATGACCAGAAGACCAGCAGAGGATGATGGGTTTGATGGTTGCACCATAATCCAGTGAAGTCCCTGGCTTTTCCTTTCAGCATGGCAGCTCCCTGAGAGCCCTGGGCAGCCTGGCAGGACCAACCTGTTGCTGATGCTGTTGCAGGATAGGTCAGTCAGGCGTATGCAGGAAGCACATGTGTCTTTAATCCTGTAATTGAGAGGTTCAGTAACAACTTGCCTGTAAAGATCAAAAGCTGAAGAACCAGGCTCTTTCCTGCCTGGTTCCAGACATGGTTGGGAAGGTTTCAGCTTTCCTGTGCACAGGTGCCTCCTTTTATCTGAGCAGCTCTTGCAGCTCTGCAGGGAAGCTGTGGGGCTGCCTGCTCCCCAAAAGCCCCTCATCCACAGGGCTGTATCCTGGCTTGGCTGAGTGTTGTTTGCAGCCTTACTGGGAGACAGGTGACAGCAATAGCCCTGCCTGCAGGAGGATGGGGGCACACTTGGTCCCTGGAGAGGATTGCCATTTATGTGCAAAAAGGGGCAGTTGAAGCAGATGATGTGACTGGAGAAAGCCTTGGTGGTCACTTAGCATGTTACCAAGCAAAGCTGCAGGATGTGGAGGGCTGCTCCATTGTGCAGGGAACAAAGCTGAGCTATTTGCTGGCCTGTGACAGGCACTGGTGATGGAAGGAAATGCCATCAAGATTGAGAGTCATTTCTGCTCAGCCCTGGTGTCCTTGCCAAGAACAGACAGAGACCATATGAAGATGAGAGGTGATGGAGCTGCTGTCCTGTGTGCTTTGCAGCCCTGATCCCTCCTCACAGTAATCACATGCAGATCTGAAGAATTTCTAGGAAATAAAAGAAGTCTCTTTTCTCTCTCTCCTCTCTGTGCGTGGAAATTAGTCGATAAGGCCTTCACAGGGCATCTGCCTTCCTGACTGGTTCCTGTAGAGTCCAGGCAGGCCTGCTGGATGTCCCTCTCCTGAACATTGCTCTCAGCACCCTCTTGGACAGCCCTGTGTGTCTTTTGAGTTCAACTTTTCCCATCAAGCAAATGACAGCCAGCATGCAGCCTTCAGTGGGGATCACCCATTGACCTGCACAGCCAGAGAGGTGAGATGTGCCCTTTCTTAGCCCAGAAGGATGGCCAGCCCTTGCTCTGGGCAGAGCTGGAAGGGGCTTGTGTTGGTTCATGTCCAGCTGGAGGGGGCAGCTCAAAACCCCACAGCAGAATAGGCCATCTGTCCCTGCTGTGCAGATCTGCTGGGCTTGGGGATTCATTTTGCCTTGAAATGCTTCCACCTCCAGGAAATAGAAAAACCTTTGCATCAAGGACAAATGCAGATTTCCACCAAAATCTGACCTGTCCTCTGCCTCTGCACACCCCTCCTGGCTGCCAGCAGTGGGCAAGTCTGGAGCATAAAGCCTGGATAAGGGAGAGGCAGGGCAGGGGCCTGTTGCTGCTCTAGGCAGGGTGATGGGAGGAAAGGGGGCTGCTGCTCTCTGGATTGTCCCGTGCTGCAGTTGGGTGGTGCTGAGGAACATTTTCCCTGAGCAGCTGCTGGTGCTTCTGAAGCAGCTCCTTGCTCTGCATGAGTAATGGGGCTGGCTGCACGCACACCATGCAGCTGCAGCTCAAAAGAGAATGTGGATGGCTGTGGGAGCTGCTGTGGAATCTGGCCCTAGAGTGACTCTGCTCAGGCTGCAGGCTGTGCTGGCATTCAGCTCTCCTACAAACAGCAGTGTTTGGCTGTCAAAGCCATCCCCATCAGGGACTGAGCATCGTGTGAATGAAATACCTTCTGCCCTGCCTGTCTGTGCCACCAGCAGAGAGTGAGCCTGGCACCTGAGATGTTTGACCACCATGTCCCTGATGGGGAAGCGATGTCTGCTTGCATAAAGCTTGGCTACATTTTCTTGATATCTCAAGCTGCATAACAGTAAGTTATTTAAGCTGAGTGAAGGTTGCTACAGTGAGGCTGCTCAGGAAATGGAAAATGGAAAAACCAATCACTTTGTTCCTGGCACTCATTATGAATGTTGTTTCTCTGCAGGTACACAGGGCCTGACAGGTCAAGTGGTAGAGATGGTCTGGCTCACTTCTGGGCATCCAGTGGTGTTTCTGCAAATCCACTGATGTTGGGCAGATGGCAGAAGATGCCACGCAGCCCTGTCCAGGGTGTTTTCCCCACCTTGTGTATCTGATTTCAACAAATAACCCTGTGTGTTTGCTGATGGCCATTAAAATTCTCTAGCCAGGCCTACAGCAGCTGATCACATCTTATTTACTCTATCATTACATCTTGCTATCTCTGCTTTATAGAGAAAATGGTGGCTTTTCAGCCTAAGTCAGATGTTTGTCTTTCTTCTGCTTTTGATTGATGACAGATCTTGGTGCTGAGCCCCATTCTTTCCATGGTGATAATACACTCACTGTTCCTTTGTATCTGTCCCACTGGACCACATTTTGTCCCACTTCTCTTGGTTGACTGATGCAGCAGAACTGTTTTAGCAAGGCCAGCATATGCACTACTGCTAGAGTTAAGCCCCATGAAGCTGCTTCCAGCATTCCTGGAGTATTAGAAATAAACTGCTGAGCTCAGTATTTGACTAACGAGCACAAGCATGTAGTGCAGTGGCAAGCAGAGCCAGGCAGGCACAGCACACCACACAAGCTGCCAGCAGTCACAGAAAATGCACAAGCTGCACGGTGCCAGATTCTTCCTTGCTACAAGGATGGGTCAGAGCATTTGGGGTGATCCACAGAGCCCAGCTCTGCCTTCTGTGTGCTGTCAGTTCTGGGAAAACAGTATAGGGAGGAGCAGTCCCATTGCCTGCAGCTTACTGGTGCCCTTTGACCTTATCCTGTTTGACAGTGGTGAAAGTGCCCGGGCAAAAGAGGAGAGAGAGTTCCAGGTTTTATACTGAGCAGGCCCACACTGAGGTGTGAATTCCTGCAGTCTTAGCAGCAGCTTTCCCTGGCCCTGCCCGGAGAGGACAAACATGCCCAGCAGTGTGGGCGCCAGCTCGCAGGGACCTGGCGGGGAGGTGGGGCTGTGGCAGAGCAGCCAGCACAGCTGAAGCCCTCTGCATAAGGGGCTGTTTGTTTTGCTGAATTGTTAAGCCCCATTGACAATAGCAGCCCCCCCCACTCTCTACACTCAAGGAACTGTGGTGGCCAGACACTGATCCTTTCTCTTATCTTCAGGCACTGAATTAGGGTTGTTCTTCACTGAGTCCCTCTGACTGGCTGTTGCTTTTTGTTCTCGCTCTGCAGGCGTACGAGTGGGCCTTGGAAGGGATGCGACACCTTGCCTGTATCAGCATGGAGGACTGCAACTCTCCTGAGCACTGTGCAGATGTCATCAAGTGCCTGGAGAGTTACAAGGGGCAGCACCCGGACATCAGTGCTGCCCGGTTCCAGGAGATGAAGGAGCTGGCCTGTGAGCTGAAGAGTGACAAGGGGCTCAAGCAGTGGAAATTCGCATGGTCTAAGTGCCAGGAGACCAAGTTGGTTTTTGAAAAGAAACTGGAAGCAGCCTTGAGAACAAGGAAGTCTCTGCTGTCAGACCGCAACCCAGCTGTGGGGGAGCAGCCCCAGGCTGGCAGTGAGAGTGGCACTCTGTCCCACCGGAGGCACTCTGAGGGGGCCACCTCCAGGTCCCACTGGGACAGGACTCCGAGCACATCTCATGGCTACAACAGAAGCAACAGCTGTCTGGAGTGGACTAGGGAGAAAGCTCCCTCACCCTCCCTGAGCTGCCCTGGAGATGTCGATGCTGGGGAAGTTTTTGTCTGCCCAGCTCCTCTCAGCCCTGGTACTCACTCCAGCAGAATTTCTTTCGCCAGCAGGGCTTGTAAGTCTTCAGTGCTGCCTGAAGAAAAGCCAAACCTGGAGAGCATTTTAGAAGCCCCAGAAGTGAGGCAGTCTTCTACATCCACTCCAGTCCCTGGGAAGCTGCCTCCCGGGAAGGTGCTCCGGAAGGCCCAAAGCTTTGACCTGCCTTATGGTGAGAGCCTGTGGGCCAGCTGCCAGAGGAGCGAGCCGGCCCGGTACGGCAACACCGGCGTCTTCATCAAGGGGCTGGAGGTGAGCAGCACTGAGCTGGTGGACAGGACATTCGCTCTGAGGCAGCCAGCTGTGAGCAGCTGGGCTGCAGACTGCCTGCTGGAAGGACAGAGGGGCTGCCTCTCCGGGGCAGAAGCCAAGAGCTGGGGCAGGTAAGTGTCTGTGACATTTGGTGTTCCCTTTCTCAGGGTGGTGAAAAGGCAGCCAGCAGAGATTAGAGGAGTTCTGTAGTGCTGGTTACAGGACAGATGGAGATGTAGCTCCAGCTTCCCTGCATGTGTGTATGTGATGCTGAGCAAGCCCACAGGGATGTCCCCACATAATTTGGCATCTACCTAGGTGGGGCGACAGAGAAATGGGATTTGTGGCTCTTCCCTCACAGCGTGATTCCTCTAGGAGGAGAAAGTTCAGTTCCCAGACAAGAGAGGGAGTCTCTGAACATTGCTTCCATTGGAGAATGAGGGATTACAGAAGCAGTATTCAGTGACCTAATAAAGCCAGGAGTACAGGTGCAGTGGGAGAGCAGAAGCTCAGGGCATTGTCCCCCACACTTTTGGGAGTGCTGTACCCAGACTGGTAGGGAGGCACATCCAGCACCTTGTGACAGCAGCTTCACAGGTGAGAGGGTGTTTGTATTTGTGCTTTGGGGCTGAAACCTCTGGGTGTCCAACAGCTGGCATTTGTGCTGTTTTCCTTCTCTATCCTTGAGAATCTCAACTTTGTTGTCATACTACAATGTGTGCTTATGCTTTGGAGAGCCCAGAGAGCTGTTCTTGACAAAGGGTATCCAGGCACGTCTTTCAGTTGCTCTCACTGGAAAAAATTAAAATATAAGTAAAAAATGAATGGCAGAGAAAAGAGTGCTGGATGCTGGGGGGCCATGTTGAGTGAAATGGCTGGGACAGTGAAATCTTCTGGAAGGGGGCTCCAGTATCCCTGGGATAGCCAGAAAAGCTCATGGCAGGGAATGTGTGCCAGCAGATAGCAGGGTGACCACTTTGCTTCTCAAGGGAGCAAGGCAGGAGGCCTCTCGTGTCTGGGTGCTGAGACATTTCCATTGCTCTGTTCTCTGAACAGCCAGAGGAGTTGAATCGAGGAAAGGCTGAAATGCAGGGGAGGAAGGGACACATTGGAGTTATGCTTGGTGCTACACTGCCTCACAGTGGAAACCTCGAGTACCTAAGAGGCATCCTTTGAGATACGTGAGAGCAACCTGTGCTAGGAACTGCAGTTCACTGATGAAGTGTTTGGACACTTAAGTTTTACTCTCTCACTTTTACTAGGACAAGCCCAACAGAACCTAATTCTAGAGCTATTGTTCTCCCAGGGTTAACATGGCTTCCCTCAGTCTCTAGTCATCAGGCTGACTCCTCACACAAGTGACTGTGACTTCTGCTGTCACTGTTGTTTCAGGAGAGCAGCCATCTGCACAGCAGCCCACTGTGTCCAGAGCAGGAACTGGGTGGGCCCAGGGGTGTGTGTCCTGCTGAGTTTGGGTCAGGATCACAGCCAGCCTTGGGCACTCCCTTCCTGAGTCCTTAGAATCACGGAATATCCCGAGCTGAAAGGGAGACCCAAAAGGATAATTGATCCAACTTCTGACTGCATTGGACCTACCCCAAGAATCACACCATGTGCTTGAGAACCTTGTCCAAATGCTTCTTAGCTCTGACAGGCTTGATGCCATGACCACTTCTCGGGGGAGCCTGTTCTAGTGCCTTAGCACCCTTTCTCTGGGTGAAGGACCTTTTCTTAATAGCCTCAGCCTAAACCTCCCCTGACACAGCTTCATGCTGTTCCCTTGAGTCCTGTCAGTGCTCAGAGTCAGAGCAATCATGGGTGGTTGTGTATCTGAGCTTGGTCTGTGCTGAGGATCATGTCATTTCCATGCTGGGTGTCAGAGAGAGCTTCTGTAGCACTAGTGCAGTGCTTTGCAGGCACTCTGGGTCCCTTCAGGGCTGGGTGTTCCCTGTTGCAGCAAACTGCGGCACATCATCGATGAGATGGTGACCACGGAGCGGGAGTACGTGCGCTCGCTCCGCTACATCATCGACAGCTACTTCCCCGAGATGGAGCGCCTGGACCTGCCGCAGGACCTGCGCGGGAAGCGCAGCGTCATCTTTGGAAACCTGGAGAAACTCTATGACTTCCACAGCCAGTACTTCCTTCGAGAGCTTGAGAGCTGCTGCAACCACCCACTGAGGGTCAGCCACTGCTTCCTGCGACACGTAAGGCATCAGCACCTTGCCCCCGGGGTCGGGCTCTTCCAGACATGAGTTTGGTTTTTGTGCCTTTCATGTTGTGCTTTGCTACCAAGAGACACTGCCAGGGAAACAGAATGTCTGCTCCTTAAAACCCATCTATTTATTCAGGGACACCCCTTACATGTTTTCTTTCTGTGGTGTCAGAGGTAATGACTAGAGTGAGCGGAAAGGTACAGACCAGCTCTGGAAGAAAACGGCTGCTGGGCAGAAGTGCAGGGACACAGGTCTTAAGGTCAGCTGCCCCATGCATTTTACTGCTACATGCTGTGAATTGTACCAGGTGACTATTGGGGTATGGAAGAAACCAGGGATAGCAGAACAATGAATCAAAAAGTCCTAGCTACTCTGAGAGTAGGAAGACAAGAACATTCCCTGGCTCTTAGTGAGCTTGAAATAAAGTTATTTCTGCTATCAGAGGAGGCTCTGGTGCAGCCTAGGAGAGGCAGAAGTACTAGAGTAACCTACCAGGGTTGTGTCTGTCACTGTGTCCTGGGTGCATGGGTCTCACTTGAGGATGGATTTCTTCTGCAGAAAGACCAGTTTGGAATGTATGCGCTGTATAGCAAGAACAAGCCAAAGTCAGACTCGCTGCTGGCCAGCCATGGGAATAACTTCTTCAAGGTGAGTTCCACTGCCTGTATCAGGATTGCTCAGTGTGTTTGGTCACTGCTCTGTTTAAGCAAAGCCAACTTACCTGCCTAAGGCAGGCTCAGTGCTGCCTCTGCTTCCCTGGCACAACTCTCTGCACAGCTGTATGGAAGGGACAGGGCAGAGGTGCAGAGAGGGCTTGAGAAAGGAGCCCAGCACACAGCAGCATTGGTCCTGTGGCCTTGCATTTCCCTAAGAGTACTCATTTTCCCTGAGTACCCCAGTCAAGAGATGTCAGTGCCTGCCTGGGGGCATAGAATTCTCCTTGGGGAGGCTGCTGCCTTCACTGTGCTGCATTTCTCAGTTCAAGCAGGTGCAGCTGGGGGATAAGATGGACCTGGCCTCCTACCTGCTGAAACCCATCCAGCGGATGAGCAAATATGCTCTGCTCCTGAAGGACCTGATCAAGGAGTGCAGCGAGGCACAGGAGCAGGAGCTGGGCTATCTCCGTGCTGCTGAGGAGATGGTGAAGTTTCAGCTCCGGCATGGAAATGACCTGCTGGCCATGGATGCCATCCGTGACTGTGATGTACGTTCCAGTGTCTTCCCTGCCCAGGGGAGCAGAGCCACATAATTCCCCTTCTCTAGACCTGGGGTCTTTGGATTGTACTGTGAGCCTCCCCTCAGATTCCCCCAGTGATCAGAGAGCGGTCTGCCAGTACAGCATAGCAGGACTGCTGAGGCATGGGGCAAGGCAGCAGTGGGGCCTGGAGGCCTGCTTGATTTCCTAGGGCAGACAGCCTGGGTGCTGCTACCTGAGCTGGGTGAGCTGCTTGTCATAAACATGCTCCTGGTTGCTTACCAATGATGGGTCCATTGGACCAGGTGTTTCAGCCTGATGTGGTCCCCAACAATGCCATGCAGCCTGACTTGAACTTCAAGAGCCCTCTTTAAGATGTCAGGTAGCTGCCACTTCTTCACCACCTGGGCTACAGCCATATGGGACCATGTTCCCCAAGTCCAGGTCTAGGGCTGCCTGGGTCATGCTGGTGGAGTCTTACAAGGATGTCCTCTCGTGTCCAGGTAAACCTGAAGGAGCAGGGGCAGCTGGTGCGGCAGGACGAGTTCACCATCTGGCTGGGCCGCAGGAAGTACCAGCGACACATCTTCCTCTTTGAGGACCTCATCCTCTTCAGCAAGCCCAAGAGGATCGATGGTGGCTTTGATGTGTATATCTACAAGCACTCCTTCAAGGTAAGGGCAGCCCTGCAGCTCCCTCTTGTGTGGGAGCTGTCCATGGCTGGTTTCCCCATGGCACCTGCCTCTGAAATGGGAAGCAGGAGCACCTTCAGCAGAAGAGCTGCTCCCACCACTTCTAAGCCTCCTCCAAACCAAGCAGTCAAGTCGGAAGGGAATACTTCCCTCATTAATGCCTAGGCTGCTGTGGGATGTGGGGCCAGCATTTTCTGAGGGTCATGGAGTATGGGAGAAAGGCAGTGTGTATGTGCCAGGGAAGTGGTGGTAATTCTGGATGGAGTACTAGGAATTGCCTGAGCTGTCTGTGCTCAGCTGTGTCCGGGACATACCTGCTGCTTTCCAGACCCTGAGGCTCCTTCCTCTTAGGTCTGCCAAGCTGGGGATGGCTCTAGCACAATGTTCAAGCAGCTTACTCCTTTTGCTCCTGGTACAGTCTGGTTTATGCTTTGCTTTTCCACTTCCTCCCAGACTGCAGACATTGGTCTGACTGAGAACTGTGGAGACAGCGGCCTGCGCTTTGAGATCTGGTTCCGAAGGCGGAAGTCCAGTGACACCTACATCCTCCAGGCCAGCTCAGCTGAGACTAAGCAGGCCTGGACCAGTGACATTGCCAAAATCCTGTGGCAGCAGGCAGCCCGCAATAAAGGTGTGATTCCTTCCTGGAATTCCTTCTGTGCCGCAAAAGGTGCGGGAGCCCTGTTCAGCTCATGCTGTCCTGAGTAGGTTTGGATCCTGTTACCAGGCAGCTCTGTGCAGCAAGCAGCTGTGTGCCAGCATGCAGCCTCAGGAGCATGTGCTGGGCTTGGCTGGGCATGTCCCTTCCCTGCCCCTCATCCCCAGGGAACTCACCTCTTTATGGTCCAAGCTCTGACTGTAGACACCCACCTGTTCTCCATGAGAGAAACAGAAGATCCACGCTCAGGGTTCCCTGTCCTGTGAGCACAGGCTGTGCCCCTGAAAGACTTGTTGGTCTCCCCAGTGATGTGGGCCACTACTGGAGCTCACTACTGAATCATGCTGACCAAGTCCCTCCTGTCCCCCACAGGCTTCCCGCTTGGCAGGACTCTCATAGGTGGCATGGCGCTGAGCTACTTGGCCAGAGCAGGGCATGATTGCTTGTTTCTGGAGACTCCACAGTGCTGGGGAGGGCAGCAAGGGGAGAAGAGATCTAATCTCAGCAGTTCAGGAGCAGCCCATGAGTGCTCTAACCTGTGGCTGAATAATGCCTGTTGGGAGGGTTGGGTTGGGTCAGCCTCACAATGTGGCTGTGGGTCTCTTCCTCTCCAGAAATCCGTATGCAGGAGATGGTCTCCATGGGTGTGGGTAACAAGCCTTTCCTGGATATCAAACCCAGTGAGGCAGCTATTAATGACCGTGCTATCGATTACATCATGAAAGGCAGAGGTAGGTGCCAGCTGTGCCTTCCCCCTTGATCCTTGTCAGTGAGGCAGGACTGGTTCTCAGGGGTTTTTTTGTATGTTTTCTGGCAGGTGCCAGGACCAGAGCCTCAATTGCAGTGTCTCTGTTTGACCATTCCAACCCCTTCAAGAGGACACAGACGCAGCTCTCCACTGGCAGCACCCCCACTGCCTATTCCCCTTCCTCCTCCTCCTCCCTTCTGGGGCCCCTCAACCTCCACATGTACCTGGACCAGGCTCTGCTGCCAGGGGTCCTGGCCCCCAGACGTCCCTTTGACATTGGCACTTGCATCGAGGAAGATGAGCTGGAGCACGAGACGAGCAGCCAGCCCTCAATGAGTACGTACAGCCCCTCTGCTCTGCAGCACCTGGGGTGTGTGGGCTCATCCCTGCTCCTTGTTCTGTGCTGTGTGGTGAGACCAGGCTTGCTGGGGTCATGGCAGTCCCTGTCTCCTACCCAGACCAGGGCATGAGGGCCCTGCCCTTCTATTATGCCAGCTCTGTCTCAGGTTCCATGACAGGAGTTAGCTCAAATAGAGGGCTTATAAAGCACCTGCTGAGCTGCAGCCTTAGCCATGGCAGGCTTGGTGCTGTGTACTGATGCTGCTGTGGTCTTGGGGATTTGTGTCCCTGCCCCTCTGGTATGAAGTGCTCTGTCCTTTGCCCTCACCATCCTGGCCCCATCACCCTTTGCCTTCCCTTGTGTGAACTTCATTGGCCAGCCCGTACCAATCACCAGCCCCATTATAGCTCTTCTTCCTTGTGTTGGTTTGTTGTCTGTGACCTTAAAGAGGCCCAGACAGGAGTGTGGCTGGTCTGTGGGATTGTGTGGCCAGTGCCCTGCAGACAGGTACATTATCAAGCTTATGTGGCATGGGTTATATGCAACCCAAAGTTATCTGTGATCTGTTAGTGGTCTGTGGTTATCAGTGACCTTCCTTTCTTTCCCCAGCAACAGAGAGCTCAGAGTCATCGCACTGCATGTCAGCCACGGGCTCCAGCGGCTCCGACAGTGGCTGTGTCTCCAACATCCCACAAGAAAGCTTCTGTGAAGACATGGGCTCACCCCCTTACATGCCCGTAGCCCCACAGCACAGCTCTGCCATGGAGGGCAGACCCAGGTTCACAAACAGCCAGTACATTTCTGCAGTAAGTGCAAGCAGCCAAAACACTCTTTTGACTTTGCCTGCTCCTGTACCTGCCTCCCCAGTTCAAGCCACTGCCTCTCACAGGGGGACCGAAGATGCTGCTTTAGGGCTTGGGGTGACTGTGGGGAAGTGACATTTCCTCCTGCAGAGACTTGGCCCCTCTGGGGCAGGTGAGAGCCTCTGGTGCAGGAGCCACCCCTGCAGTGGCCAGGATCCCTGAGGAGATGAGCTGGAAAGGACCTGCAGTCCTGGAGTGCTGGAGGCTGCACAAGGAGATGTTGCACAAACAGGAGCTATAATGCTGCCATGGGCTGGGGTACATATGTAACCTCCTGGAGTGGCTGGAGCTCTGCTGCACCTGCTGCCAAGCTCCTTTCCTGGGAGGTTTGGGCCTTTTTTGGGGAATGATGAGGGAGTACTGGGAACCTGTTGCTCTGAGATGTTGGTGTGTTCCTGAGAGTTCTCAGCTGCTTCCCTTCCCACTAGATCCTGTCCTGATGCTGTTGTCCTCTAACCCCCCTACTAACACTGGCTTCTCTCTTCTGCAGAAAGCAGGCCAGGTCACCATAAGTCCCTCAAGAATAGTGTGAGCCCCTCGGCCCCGCCTCAGGAAGTGGAGTTGTTGTAAGTAGCCCCTGCAGGGGATTTTCCAGCAGTTCTGAGTGCTGGTCAGGTTTGTCAGTAGCTCTGAGTCAGGGGAACCTCACCTTCGGCTCCTCTGTGAGTTTTCCCCATGCATTCCTGACTGGTGTCTGAGGCTCTGATTCATCTGGTTACAGAGGAGCAGCTCCCATGGAGCCGCACTCTGAACAGCTGGTCTGATGCTTTCTGCCTTGCAGAAGCAAAATAAACAAAATCACGTTCAGGTAGTAAAGGCTTGACCACCTCCTGAGTGTTCAGATGAGCTGCTTTCCTCTGAATGCTGCCACCTGTCTAACCACTAATCTATTTCTTGTGGCTGTTTGCCAAAATCCTGCTCTTAGTCCCTCTGAACGGCCTTGGGGAATTATCCCACAGTTTCCTTTGAACCTCCAAAGGAAATGGTACTTTGCCAGGCACAGGATCCTGCTCTAGGTTATGGTCAGGATGTCCTGAGGGAGCTGCCAGAGGTTGCTGCCGTATTTAGGGATTCTGGGAGGATGCCTTGTCTGCAAGGAAGTCACTGTTGATCTAAGGAGGGTGAACCCTGACAGGACTTGCAGCCAGGCAGGGCTCGTGCTCCTGGCTGGCAGCCCTTAATATTGTCACTCCAACCAGCCTGCTCTTGTCTCAGCCTTTTCCTCTCTGTCCTTGGGGCTGAGCCTCCCTTCTCACAGGGAGCAGAGGGGTATGGGAGAGACAGGATTAGGGCTTGAATGGTCAAGGCACAGGTGGTGAATGGTCATAGGTTTGGCACTGTGCGGTGTCGCACCATGCAGGCCCATGGCTCGTGAGCTGCAGGTGCAGGAGTTCAGAACCAGCTGTACAGAACTAGCCAAGGTTCAGATTTAACATCCTGAGCCCCTTCTGGAGGGTCACAGATGAGACTTTTGAAGTGGCCACAGAAGCAGTAGGGACAGCAGCACAAAACTTTTGGGCAAGTCCTGAGGCACAGAGGGAAGAGCTGTGCTTTTCCTGCAAGGAGAATATTCTTTCCCCACCACAATTTACCTCTGACAAACAGTGGATTTCAAGTGTTTTGTGAGGTCACTGCTGGCCAGGACAGAGGGACCTGTGGGATCCTGCCCACAGGAGTGCAGCTGGTCTAACCCATTGCACGGTGCTGTGTTCCAGGTTTGATTGCCATTTCAAACTCACTGAAGACCCCAGGCCTCTGACCAGCAGAAGGACACAGTCTTCATCCTTCAAGATATTTTTTGCCCATTATCAGGCTCTTTCAAACAGCCCAAAACTTGACCTCTGCCTGAGGCGAAGTCCCAGGAAGGCTTCTGTCAACTAAATGTAATAGCTTTGGTGTTGGATGGGACCTTGGGCATTTAAAGCTCGTTAGCCCTATATTTATAAGTAATAAGTAACATAGCAGTTTGGGAAAAAAAAAAAAAGTATTATTTTTAAAGCTATGAGTTGTACAGATTTTTATTACAAGTGACTCTGTTACTATTTGTTGTGTAAGCTGCACATTTTATAAAGTTTTTGGAAGGGCATGAAGAGAAATTGAGGTATTTAAAAAAAGTAGTCTAACTTTCTGTTTCAGGGTTATAGTGACCTGAAGCTCAAGATTTAACGTCCTTCCTTATGTTCTAAATATGTCTATCGTAGCAATAATTTATTTCCTTGGCTTAATACTTCCATGCTAATAAAAGCAATTTCATTGTTATGAATTGTTTCTTCAGATGGTTCTTCCAGTGCCTTGGTGCTGAGCTAATCTCTCTCATAACCATCTGTCAGCTCTGCCACTCTGCCTGTGCCACCTCTGCTCTGACTGCCAGCTCCCCCTGTAAATCCTCAGTGCATTCACCAGAGAAGGGGGAGATGCCCAGGCAGAGACTCCCCTGGTGCCAGTGGGAGGCTGACCCAGGGAGGAGCAGCCAGCAGAGGTGTCAGTAGGAGTGAGGAAGAGGGAGCTGTGTCTGGTGGAGCTCAGGAGGCACCAAAATTCCTGGCTCTAATTTTAGCCACTTGCCCCCATAGCTGCTGTGCCAGTGCAAGTTCCTCTCTTGCCCTGCTGGCTCAGGTTCCAGTGGCTTAGTTCAGGTTCCATTGTGCTTTGTCCTGGCTGTGCCCCTGGTTTTGGGCTGACAGGGACTGGCTCCTTGCTTCATCTCTGACTCAGCCCCTCTTCTGGTACTTCAGTCCCACTGTTGTGGCTTGTTTGAGGAGCTTTGGATGTGCTGGCATTCGAGACCAACAGGTTTTGAGTGTAATGGCTTGATCATAATGCTGAACCTTAAGTGGATGTTGTTTAAGTAACACAGCATAACTGGAGGACAAACGAGCCCTGTGTTCCAAGGTGGCTTTTTCATGAGTAACATCCAAGGTCACTGTGTGGCTGTGACACTCTCCCTCTGTTCTTGGACAAAATGAAAATTAGCATTTCTGGAAACACTTGGCTGCCAAGTTCCTGTTTACTCCTGGTTTGTGCAGGGCTGTAAATCAGCTCCTGCAGGTGTGGGAGAAGTGCTACATTTGGCCTGAGGAAGAGGATGGAGTAGTAATTTATTTAACTGCAATTTTCTCCCCTTGGCAGACATGGGTGTTACACCCCACAGCCACCCTGGAGACAGTGTTCCTTCAAGTTTGGAAATTCCTGTACTGTATGTAAAACACTTGTTTATTTTTAATAAGCTGGATGTTTTTAAACCTTGTTCTTTTTTTAGAAAGCAAGGAAAATGCATTTGACACCTTTGTACAAAATAGCGTGGGAAACAGTTATACAGGGAATATTTTACAAGTTACTATTTTGAGATAATTGCTGGGTTAATGCAAAGTTTCTGGACTGTCAAGACAACAATAGCTCATGTCACAAGAGGGAGAGAAGTTACTAATGCAACAAGAGGAACATGAAACGTCTGGAATTTCTCAGTTTCAAAGGTTTCTAAATTGCTGGACAAACCTTTAGTATTGTTTACCTGACACTCTTTCTTCAGGGTTTGATTGATTTGTCTAATAAAGGTTATTTTCTTTATATGAATCTTTCTTGCATTGTGGCATGATTTCAGCATGGGAGCCCTGAGAGGAGCAGTTGTCCCCGGGGTGTTTAAATACTCCCTTAGAGTACTGGGGACAGACTGAATAACATTTCTGTGACCAAACATAAGCCAGCAGGTTATTGGGGTGAGGCTGATGGTGCCTGTCATTTTAAACACTGAAAAGTACACCAAAAAAAATTTCCTCCTATTCCATATTACTCAAACAATGAGAAAAAAATATTTGGTTTTATTGGCATAAGTAGAAATATTTCCATTGCCAACTTTGACTTCCACAGAGTGAGCTGCATGTCAGGAATCCCAGATTAGACAATGCATTTTTGAGAGGGTGCAACCAAAGTAAATGAGCTCCTAAACCAGAGGTGTTTCTCTCAAGTCTTTGGATTTCAGAATTGGAATTTTCAATACTTTTTCCAGCCTTTTTACAAGATAAGTGTCATTCTCTGTGTCTTCTTTTTTTCTCCCCCTTTAACTAACCAGGGATAAAGAAAGTCTGATTGAAAAGCAGGAGTCCCACTCTGCTCTGTGACACTCGTGACACACCTCACATGGAAAATTCATCGTGGCATTTTCCACATTTAGGGAATTCCCTGAAGAGGGTAGATGGGTTCAGTGGGGCAGTTTGGGAATCCACCCTTCCCAGAACTCCCTTATCTCTGCCAGTAATGGCCATTGTGCCTGGCCCTACCCAGTTTGTACTCCCAGCAATTCCCAGGCATGGCTGTTCAGGTGTTAGAGTTGTAAAATCCTGGAATCTGCCATGGGCAGTGCCACCTTCCACTAGACCAGGTCACTCCTAGCCCTGGAGTGTCCTTGGCCTGGCCTTGTACACTTGCAGCAATGGGGAATGCAAGAATTCTCATTTAGTGGAATGTGGAATATTCACAGGACACTGGTGTTTTAAGCCATCTCAGTTTCCAGTATTGATAAATTTTGTAGACATAATAGATTGCTGTGCCTGTGGAGGGAGGGTGCCCTCTCCTGTAACATCCCTGAGTTCTCCTGACCACTGCAGTTCTGGAAAGCATTTTTCAGCCTTAGGGCAGGGACACCAGCAGAGGGGGCAGATAGAGTATTTTTCAGCTGGACTAATCTGACTTTGCTGATCTGACCTAAAAAAAACCCCCACAAAAATCTGAAGAGAGGTGCAATTTTCCTTTTTGTTAAAGATGTGCAGACATTGCACAAGTCTGTGATCACAGACTGGTTTGGGCTGGAAAGGGCTTTAGAAATCACCTTGTTCCACCCCCCTGCCATGGACAGGGACACCTTAGAATAGATCAGGTGCTCCAAGCCTGGTCCAGCCTGGCCTTGAACACTTCCAGGGATGGGGAATGCAGGAATTCTGGTTCAGTGGGATGTGGTCCTGGCCATACCTCAACAGGGCCACTGTAAATGTCATTGTGCACTGTTTGTTAATGCAGTAATAGACTATTGAGTTGTGCTGCTCTTCCAGCATTTGGGGATGGAACAACTTTAAACACTGCCTAAAAATAAAAAAAAAAAAAAAGAAAAAAAAGATTATGTTAAATGCAAAATTATAATAATTGATGTTAAAAATATCAAGCAGCATAACTTTTTGGAGACAATTTAATTAAAAAAAAAAAGAAATTGGAAATCAGAAGAAACTCAGAGTTTAGATAAAAGCTTGGAGGAAATGCTGATATTAATGTTTGAAAATAGACTTTTCATCCAGCCAGGATGTACAGACTCACCCTTCAGTGGCACAAGACAAAAGTACATTTTAATTAAAATAAAAAATACTTGCACCTGTATAGCAAATTAAATCTTTGTTAGAGATACCTATTTAGCATTTTCATTTGTGCAGGTACAGAGTGTAGGGGAAGAGGAAGAACTGTCACTTCCTTCTTGCATATGACAATAAATTCAGTGGTGAATTTACCACAATAAATTCATTAGAATTAATTTATTTTTAGGCCAGCTGTGCTCATGGAGTACTAGAAAGGGCAACACCACCTTTTCCAGATTCCAACATTTGTGTTCAATAAGATGGGGCAGTGTAAAACTGTCCTCAAACAGCAGCTGCTTTCTTCAGCTGCAGTTAATTGAAATCAAAACCATTAAATGAGCTCTTATGGAAAGGTCAAGCATGAAATCTTGTTTCACCAACCAGAGCAGAAGAGTTGAATGTGACTTTTATTTGGATATTTATCAGGAGCCTTGATAAACTTTAACAGAAGTCTGTGACATCCATCTGCACACAATATTTTCTAAGAATTAAAAAAAAAATTAAAAAACAACATAGAAAATCCCACTTTGCCAGCAAGAAAGGCTTCAGCTGCAGAATTATTGCTCATAGGATAAATTCAACAGAGCTGAGAAAAGGTAACCTTGAGGTCTGCATGTAAAAATGAAGGTGCCCAAACACAAAACTGTGTTGGTCAGTGAATAATTTATGATAATCAGACTTACCCTGTGCAGGAGCTGCTTTCCACAACAGAGATTCAGGAGACAGAGTGAGTTTACTTTTGGGAATTGAGAAATACCAGTCACTGACATGAAAATGAATTAACTCTTCTTCTGCAGATCCCACAATGCTCTCTGGTTCATCCACACAGAAAACACTGAGGGGAAAGAACAAACCTGTACATTCTAGAACAATCTGATGTCTGGAAGGTTTTTAGCCTATTTCTCTCATAAATGGCCACAGAAAAGGGACTCAAAAGCACATCTGGAAATGGATGGGGAGCGGAGGGAAATCCTCTGTAAATGGATGCAAGAATTAAAGTCAGTAGCTTCCAGAGACAGCTTGTAGCTCCAGACTGCACTGATAATCAAAGATAATGTGGGGAACACGACTTTTTCATAGATAGTCAGATCAACTGCTTATTGCTGATTCTGTTGAAGCAAGAAAGATGAAAAACTTCAAGAAAAACAACTGGAGTTTAAAATATTGGTATTTCTGAGGCTCAATCCAATTTTAGGGGACAGTGGAAGAAAGACAGCACCACCAACACACCCTCATGGCACCCTTGCTCCAAGGAAAGTACTCCCAGACATCCCTGGGGGAATCCAGGCAGCCCAGGCTGCTCCTTGATGGGCAGCAGTGCCCAGCCAGCAGCTCCCCCTGCACAAAGGGGGCTCAGCCCTGCCTTGTGCCTCCTCATTCCATTCCATTCCATCCCATTCCATTCCATTCCACCCCATCCCATTCCGTTCCGTTCCACCCCACGCTGCCCCATCCCATCCCATCAGGCCTGGAGGAAGGAGCAGGGCTGCAATTTATTTAAAAGCCAATTAACACCATGCTAACATGACAGAGCTCTTTAATTAGATGCACTATGTGTCATTTCTTAGAATAGGGAACAGGTGAGAAGCAAGACCCAAAAAATTTTAAAAAACCCAAGAAAACCTGGAATATGGCAGCTAATAAATTAACTAATCAATTTGATCATGTGGGATTTTTAGTTAAAAAACCTAAAGAGGGCTTTAGATAAAGATATAGGAGTGCTCCTCAAGACTTTATTAATATTTACTTAATGTACATTAATATTTTAATATTTAAACAAATTTTCGCAGTAATATTTTTAAACTTCCTCTGGAGATAAGGTCAGCATTAAAAAAAGAGCATCAGTATGAATACTGGCAAACTCCCTATCTTAATATCTATATTTTATATTTGTTAATAATTTATAGTTTAAATGTTATAATCTAAATAAATCTGTACAATAAGAGCTGCAATTATGGGGCAGTGTCACACCTCAGGGATGGGTTTACATGTCTTGAATGTTCTCCTGGGTTTATCCGTTATTACCTCTGTGTGTTACTACTGGAAGTATCAGCTGACATAAAGATAATTTATTTAATTTATTTAATTAATAAGCTTTCCAGACAGTGGTTCACAGTCTGGTTTTGTGTCAGGTTTATGGTTTTGGAGTCGCTGGTGTCTCTGACATTCTCTGCTGGAAGACTTTACTGCAAAACCATTAATATAGAGGAGCACACTGCCCGAGCTCCGAGCTCTTCTCAAAGCTCCAAAATCCCTTCCTGGATTTATGAGGGGGGAAGGATGGACCTCCATGGACAGGAGTCTCACTGGGTTTTGTAATTTACCTTGAAATCGAATGGGTAATAATCCCAAGAAAACGATGTTTCATGGCTGTCCAAAGACAACCTAAACCTGCAGCAATAACATGAACAGGAGGGTGCTGAGCTGCTCCCTCCTCTGCTCCATACCCTCCTGTTCCTGGCATGCCTGAGGCAGGGATAACACTGCAGATGCTGCAGGGAAGTGTTTAAACCCAAAGCAAAAATCTGTTTCCAATTATGTCTCAAAAAAAAAAAAAATTTAAAAAAAATCCATAGAAACTTTTCTGTTTAGAATTGTTTCCTGACATCACCTGAGCTTCCTGCCAAAACTCCAGATTATCTTGGTGTGTTCCAGATTTTACTGCTTGTTTAAGTTATTTTTTTTCACACACCTATGCAGGAATGCTTGGAAAAAGTTGGGGTTTTTTTCTTTAAAAGTGTGTTTGAGACAAATACTTCAAAGCAGTGGCAGAAGGGTTTGCTTAAACTCACACCACGTTACATTCAGGGACATTCATTGCTTCTGAGGCTCAGCAGCACCACTGGAAAGGCTCCCAGGGACTTACCAGACATGGGGAAAACTGTACAAAAGTGATTCATTTCTTGTAGCATTTATGACCCTTTGTGATTCTGGGGATTTGGGGTTTGCTTTCTTATGTCTTGTCTCATCCCAAAGGGATTATCTGATTTTTAGCTGGATGAAAGGCTTTAGGGGAACCATGTGGCAGCTTCCACCCTACAAGAGATGGATCAGGCTGCTGCTCCAGCCACTGCATCTCCAGGATCAAACACTCACAGAGCAAAGAAAAATGGAAGGATCCTTCAGAGCCTGCTGGGAATTGAGTAAATGGGGGCTGATGTGGTTTATAAAGCTCATGAGAACTGATACAGAGCAACCACACACATGTGCTGCCAGAGCCAGATGTGCCCCACTGGCA